TATATATATATATATATATATATACTGTATATACAGTATATATATTAAAAACGAATTGTGTGATCTATATGATTGTATCAATAAAAGAATAACAGTGCAGTCACATGCTGGTTGAATATTCATTGTGAACTAATATCTAATGTTTCTGACAGTGTTGAGTCTGTCTGTGTGTCTGAATAGAACTGAGTAATGACAGAACACTTTAATAAATCTACAAAATGGAAGAACTTATCCTCAGCAGTAACTGTTTCTGATTTATAAACTGCCCTTTATTATAAAAAAATATATTGAGAATCAGCAGATTCTGGTATACACATTTTGCCATTTCTATATGCATTGTGAGATAAAGAAAAAATAATGCAAAGAAGGGGGGAAACATGACATGACTTACGTTAGACTGTCTTAAACTGGATATTTTTTTAGTGGATAAACACTTTGTTCGTGTTTAGCAGCCTAACTAGAGCAGTTTAAGAAAATGCTTGTACAGTAGTGCAAAGGAAAGGAGAGCGTGTTTTGCACTGACAACATCGCCCTCTGCAGGAATTAATCGATGAATGTTACTATAGCACGACTTTGATTTGTAATTATATGATGTAAGCAACTGTTTAAAACGATTCATGAAGTCATGACGCGAGAAACTTTGATTTATAATTAAGGATTTGTTTATGAAACAACTCGTCATGTATTTATAACAGAGGTTTTTATATCAGTTATTCTCAGTGAGGGTCCTCAATAAACTGCCTTCAGTTATTTACAATAAACTACAAATTTAACTAAAATGCTAAATGTGCAACGAAATGTTTCTTAAATAGTTTTAATATTTCTATATAAAAAGCTAACATTTAATTTATTTGTTTGTTGATACAAAAACCAATTGATCATATGATTAAAATCGATAAAAATTATTATTACATTATTAATATTAAAATAATATTATATTATTAGAATATGATGAACGAATCGTACAGCATCAATTCCCATACAATTTAATCATATTTATCTAAGCAGTGGAGCATTTAAAGTGCGTTGCCGCTTATGGGACTTTTATTTGAACCGGAAGTATAAAGTGCTTTTTAATGCAGAAGGAAGCGTACCTTCACAAAGAATAGTTTTACAGTTGATATCATGGCATTGGATGTGAAGTCCAGAGCGAAGCGCTATGAAAAGCTGGACTTTCTTGGTGAAGGACAGGTACACGACATAACAAGATATTTCTGAGCTGTTGTGGTTCGGGTTAGTAGCTGCAGAAGCTCTTGGAGGTGCGCATTAATCGTACATTTTTATTAATGCATAGTGTCATTATTTTGCAGTTTGCAACTGTGTACAAGGCAAGAGACAAAACCACAAGCACTATTGTTGCTATCAAAAAGGTAAGACATTTCAGCTAACACTGAAAACCATCACTTTTGATCAAATTCGCTTGTTTCAGTATTTTGCATTGGGTAGTGGAATATTTTGCATTTCTTTTTATCATTCTTAAGTACCTTCATGTTAAAAGGGGAATTTCTTGTTTGCAGATAAAAGTGGGGCACAGAACAGAAGCCAAAGATGGTGTGCTTTGGATCTGGCTTAATCTTTGATCACAACTTTATTTTGAGTAATT